ATATACCCAAAGGACACTCCATCCTATCACAAGGACAGTTACTCAATTATGTTTATAGTGGCTTTATTCATAAAAGCCCAGAACTGCAAACAACTTATGTGTCCCTCTCAAAAAATGGATTTAAAAAATGTGGTACATGAACACAATGAAGTGTTGCTTAGCTGTTAAGAAGAATGACATCATTAAATTTTGAGGCAAATGGATAGAACTAGAAAAAAAATCATCCTGAGTAAGGTAACCCAGACCCAGAAAGATAAACATGGTATGTATTCACTAATAAGTGGATATTAGCTATTAAGTAAATGATAATCATGCTACAATCTATAGACCCAGAAATGCTAAGGAACAAAGAGGGCTTAAGGGGGGGGATACAAGAATCTCCCTGGGAAGGTGAATTAGAACAGATTTTTTTTCAGGTGGACTGGGTGGATGGGAATGGGTTCATTCCCAGGAGGAATCAGGTTTGGGAGAGGAATGTAAGGAAACAGTTTGGGGACAGACAACTAGAACTGGAGGGCGCTGGGGAAGGGGCTATGTGGAAACCAAGTACAGTAGGAACTCCCAGGAGTCTATAAGGATCACCTTATTGAGGACTCTGCCTTAGTTTATATTCCTATTGTTGTGAAGAAACAACATGACCATGGCAACTCTTATAAAGGAAAACACTTAAATGAGGCTGTCTTACAGTTCAGAGGTTTAGTACATTACTGTCGTGGAAACGTGGTAGCATGCAGGCAGACATGGTGCTGGAGAGGTAGCTGAGAGTCCTACATCTTGATCTACAGGCAATAGAAGGAGACTGTGTGCCACATTGGGAATGGTTTGAGCTTATGAGACTTCAAATCCTGCCTCCAATAAGACCACCCCTCCTAATAGTGCTATGGACCAAGAATTCAAACGCATAAGTCTATGGGAGCCATTCCTATTCTAACCACCATAGACTCCTAGTAAAGGATATGGAGATTCCACTGTTGGGACTGGTACAAACTAATCCAGCCACAAAACTTTCAACCTAAAATCTATCCTTCTGCCTGTAAGATGTGCTGGGGCAATGGGGCTGCAGAACTTGTGGGCTTGGCCAGCTAATAACTGGTCTGATTTGAGAGCCAACTTGCATTGGAACCCATGCTCTACTGTGCCTGGATGACCAGGAATAGGAGTGGGGTAAGAGTGGGGACTGGACATCTGAGAACCCTTGGAGCTTTGGGTACTCCTGTGAAGATAGGGAGGAAGAATTGTAGAAGTCTGAGGAATACAGGACACCAGGAGAACTTGGCTCACAGAACCAACTAAGCAGGGCTCATAGGGGCTCATGGAGACTGAAGCAACAATCATCAGAGCCTACATGCGTCTGAACTAAGTCTCTCACGTATATGCTAGATTTTTAGCTTAGTGGTTTTATGGGACTTCTAACAGTGGGAGTGGAGGTATCTCCGACTCTTTTGCCTGCTCTTGGAACTCTTCCTCTTACAGGGTTGCTTCATCCAGCCTTGATAGGAGAGTTTGTGACCAGTCTTATTGTATCTTGTTATTCCGAGTTTGACTGATATCTGTGGGAGACCTGCTATTTTCTGAAGGAAAACAGAGGAGGAGTGTCTCTGGGGAATAGGTTAGGTCTGGGAGTGGGGGAGCAGGTAGAGGAAGAGAGAAAACTGCTGTCAAAAGGTATGAGAGAAAAATAAATAAAAAGTAAATAAATACACAAATAAATAAATGTTAAGATTATATTTTCAGAATGGAATTTACTAGAATCTGATTGTTCATATATGTATATGTAAGATTACATATATTATCTGGGCATTGGTGGCACATACCTTTAAACTCAGCATTTGGGAGGCAGAGGTAGGCAGATCTCTGAATTCAAGGCCAGCCTAGTCTACAGAGAGAATTCCAGGACATTCAATGTTACATAGAAAAACCCTGTCTCAAAAATCCAAAAGAAATATATGCATACATACATACATATATATATAGACTTTCTAATATTTGATATCACAAGCATATTGAGGAGTTATGTTGAATTAACACATTGGAGTGGTGAGTAAAACCAATAATTTAATGAGTATTGTTAAAAATAAAACTTTTTATTTTAAAAATAAAATAATAAAACTTTTCTATTTTGTTGCAAGGAAACAAGCAGGAGTGGATTTTATATCTGGGTCTCATTGTTCATAGAATATTAAACATGTGTTGACACCTTCTATGGTGGTTTGAATGAGAATGGCCCCCACAGGTTTATCTATTTGAATGTATGGCTCCCTATGGGGGCATTATCATTCAAACCACCACACTTTCTTACCATGCTTTATTAGTAGCAGCACTAGCTAATATCTGCAATCTCCATGTTAGAAAGCACCTATTAATATTTATCCTAGGGGCATTTTAGATAGAGGATTCAGTTACTCTTAGAATGCCCAAGTAAGGACATTCAAGAAGCTTAGTGTCAGCAGTGAGCCAAAATAGACATTTGAAGGAATAAAAACATGCCAGAAATGGAAACTGAGCTAGTGTTTCCTAGAAAAGCCTCTGTCAGTGTCACTGTGGTTATGCACTTAGCTGAGTTTCTCATTTGCAGAAAGCCGTGTCACAGGCATAGGCTGACATTTTGGTTCACATGTTGGGCTCCTGCTGCCTTGCACGAACCACCTCCAGTGCCTTAGACTTGCTCTTTAGACAGCACCCCAGCAAGCCTCTCTCCCGCTCTCACTAGACAAGCAGCCACCTACAGTGAGGAGGGAGAAGAGAATGGAGGGAGGAAAATAAAAAGCTCTGCACTGATGCAAGGGTCCCAGACTTGCTAAGAATATTGTCATTGTTCAACAGCCTTTTAACTCTGTTGAAAGATTTAAAAATCCAAAATAAAAACCTAGGATTTGGGATGAACTAAGAGAACGAGCTCTTTTGAAAAAGAGCTAATTCAGCTCAGTAACCCTTTATTGAGCTTCCTGCCCTGTGCCCTTCAGTATGCCACGTGCTGGAGGCAAGAGAGCAGACGTGGTGCACAGGATCCTCGTACTTTAGGAACTGAAAACCTAGGGAGTGAGTTGGATGAGAGAAGCATTCTTATGCATAACTACTAGCACAAGTTTCTGGACCTGAAATAGGTCCAGAAATAGATGAGGAACAGTCTTCTATGTTATGTAAGAAAGACCATCTGATTGAGTTGCCCCTGGAGAAAGAAAAAAAAAAAAAACAAAGAAGGTTGTATTCTCCCAGTTTGATGAACTTGCTTCACGAACATGTTTAAACTTGCCTCTTAAACTCTCATGCCTTACTTCTGAGGTAAATAAAATGTCTCAGTGGCATTTAAAGCCATGGGCATCTGTGAGTAATGCTGTAAGGTAGATGGAGGTTGGTAACCAGTGGTCTTTCGGCATTTTAGACTATACTCTCGCAGAGAGGAAAAAGGGATTGCTTTGAATTTTTTGTGTTGTTTGGTTTGCTTTGGTTTGGTTTTTTTGATACAGGGTTTCTCTGTGTAACAGCCCTGGCTCTCCTGGAACTTGCTTTGTAGCCTAGGCTGGCCTCAAACTCACTGAGTCCCACCTGCCTCTTCCTGCTGAGTGCTGGGATTAAAGGCTGAAGCCACCACTGACCAGCAAAAGAGGGATTTTTTTAAGACCACAGTTCCCATGTACGTTCAGCTGCTTTTCATTGTATATGCATAGATGAACAACTAATAAGCTAATACAATTATTGAAAAATAACCTAACTCCAGACCGAGAGACAGCTCAGAGGTTATAATGCAGTGCCTGTTCTTCCAGGGGTCCTGAGTTCAGTTCCCAGCAACCACATGGTGGCTCACAGCTGTCTATAATGAGAGCTGATGCTTTCTTCTAGCCAGCAAATAGAACAATGTATATATACTAAATAAATTAGTCTTTAAAAAGGAAGGAAGGAAAGAAGGAAGAGAGAGAGAACCTAACTCATAAAGCACAGAGTTTATCATCAATATTTGGCATCATAGTTTTTATATATAGTCTCTGATATCACCAACTGTCCATTCAACTAACCCGAAGCTACTGCGTATTTGCTTATTCTTTATTATTTAGCTTATTCTCACTTGGTGTTAAAACTACTTCAATGACACCACAAAACTTATATATTTGGGTTTTTAATGTTTTGCAGAAAAAAATCAGGAAGCATATTATGGACACTTATAGAAAAATCAACAGATTTGAAATATTTGTTTCTGTAAAACTAATTAGTGACTTAATTCTATAACTCAGGCAGTCGTGAAACTTTCTGAAGCCCTCCTGCCTATGATTAGAGGTGAGAAACACTACACCTGTTTTACATACTTACTTTAGACTGAGGCAATTCCGTTAACTTTGTTAAAAATGATTTTCACAACTGTTACAAAACAGTGTGGATTCTGACATTTAAAAGCTGTATTTGTAGCTTTCACATAACTTACTGGAGGACGCAAATTAGATGTGGCACAATCTACTTGCAAGGTGTAGATTCGAGAGGTGCACTTTTCCCAACATTTACACAGGCAAATTAGAAGGCAGAAAAACTGAAGTCTAAGTCGGGCCTGTGGGCTGGGCTGGGCGGGAGGGGGGGGGGGAGGTCCGGGAGTAGCGGACTGGGAAGGACCCTGGGACAGCAGCAACGCACACACATGCTTCGGAAGTTCTACTTTATTCATCGGCTAATAGTGAGGGAAAGAAAAACGTTTAGTTAGGCTTGTTAGATTCTCAATATGAAGGCAGATAAGAAATATTTTACCTAATGTATTTGTTGTAAGCCCCCCTTCTGTTTGTATGTCCTTAAAGGGACGTTTAAATAAATGAGATGTTAGTTAATGAGTTGCTAGGTGATTCTGGGTCGGTTCGAGCGTCAGCCTAGTCATTTTCTGGCACACGCCGCCCGCCTTGGGCGGTTTCCCTCTTTTCTCAGAACCACGCTAAGCACACGGGGCGCTAGTGCCGGGGTCACACGCATAGGTTCTTTTCTCACTTAGTTTTAAACCCTCCCTCTGCGGCTCGCGGAGGGCGTGGTGAGAGCGCAAGAGGTACTTCCCCAAGCTCCGGCACCCCCACAGGGGTACTTGCCGTGGTCACAGCTCGGGGGACCACGCTACGGCGAGGACTCCTGCGGGTGGCGCGGCGCTCGGCCAGGGCTTGCCGGGATCCCTCTCCGCGTCCTGTGCGCGGGAATGAATACCTCTGGTTAGTGGCAACGAGAAACCCGGTAAGGAGGCATCGCGACTCCGTGGTCTAGAGTCGGACTTCCCCTCACCCTAGGATACTGACTGGTCCTTATCCTGAGCCTCGCAGGCTTCCCTAGGATGAGAATAATGGTTGGTGCTCTTAACGGGGGTCTGGCTGGGAGCCACACCTGGGGGCCATCCGTGACCTGTCCCATACTCAGGAAACTAAGTCAGGCATCACGGATTCATTATAGTGAGGTGCTGTCTTAGAAGTAGAGGAGAGAGGAGAGGAGAGAGAAAGATTAGATTCCTGATCTTCAGAATGGGTACAGCGCGGCTTGTCTTCTGCATTCCCCACGCCTGATTCGGTGAGTCCTCCGCTATCCCTTCTTCAGGCACAGCCGTAAGCTCAGATTCGTGCCTTGTAGCTCCCGAGTCACCGTGATTAGTTGAAGAGGATGACAAACTCTGAACCTCAGTCTGACTTCAGAGGAGAAGAATCATCGTCTTACAATCATTTCTCAGTAATGGGTTTGCTTTCCTACTGCTGCACCTGGCTTGTTCTCTAGCAAATTCTTGCCGTAGTGGCCTTTAAAAAGTAACCACCAAATCTCAGAAGAGATCTGGAACAACGGTTTCCTTTGCTCTTGGAAGATTTTAGTACTCTTTGCATGAGGCAGCAATATTTTTTTGTTGTTTTTAAGATAAAAATATGAATTGAATGTCTGTTTTTCTCACTACCTTTGGTGGGCACTGTGGCTAATAGAAGACTTACTTCACTCCTTCAAATTAAAATCAGAGATATACTTAAGAGTACAGCAAACGAAGAGACAGCAACTAGTTTTAACCAAAATTAATATTTCAGTGGCACTAGAGGAAGGTTTAAAAAGAGAGATCAAAAATCCAGGCTACCTACCTGAATTTTAACAATGTCTTTGAAAAAAATGTGTTGGTGTTCTTTTCCTTTTCAGCTTGTTCTGTATGGTGGGCACAGGGTTTAAGAGCATCTCATGTTAACCCCACAAACAGTCCTATGAATCAAGAACGGATTTATTTCTCATTCGGTAGACAGGCCACACAGCTAGACTCGTCAGCTGAGACTGCAGCTTCTTTCCCAGGTCTTCTCTGTTCTTGACTAAGCCAGTCGCTTCCCAGGGGGCTCTTTTGGAAAGCTTGGAATGAAGTGATAAGAGCATACATCATCCACTTCAGCTGTGAGCTAACTACTCGTGGCACTGACAAGAGAGCACTGAGGCTCACTGAAAATAAATGAGTTGTATAGGTCAGGTCCCAGAGAACTGCAAAGGGCAGCACGAGCGGAGCTGCTCTTAGGTTAGCAAGCATCTGGAGGGATGGAGGAGCAAGAGGAATGCACGGGACATGCTCTAGTGCAACTCCGAGAACGCTACTAAGATGCCCATGTCATCTTGATCACTGCATATGTCACCACAGTCTAGAAATGGTAAGAGTTACTTTGTGCAGTAAAACAAGGATTAATTACTAAATTATGTGCTCTGCATTATGGAAACTTGTTAACAAAGGCCAGAAAGGACGCTCAAGTTTAGAATAATCACAATGTGTTTTGTCATTATAATGTCAAGGAAAGGAACTGGATAAATAAGTAAACATCAGGCAGAGGGTTGTTAGGGCAGAAACTTCAGTGCCACGGATGGAGATAGAGACCTACATGGGAGCTAGTGCTCCCAAGGCCAGTTGAAGAGCAGAAGGAGGGAGAATACGAGCAAGGAAGTCAGGACCACGAGGGGGTTGGTCCACCCACTGAGACAGTGTGCCTGAGCTAATGGGAGCTCACCATATCCAGCTGGACTGGGACTGAATGAGCCTGGACCCTGGACCCTCTGAAAGTGGTTGAAAGTTGGGGGAGACTGAGGGGCCAATGATAATGGCACTGGAATTTGTCTCTACTGCATGTACTGGCTTTTGGGGATCCTATTCTCTTTGGATGCACAGCTTCCTAAACCTGGAAGTAACAAGGAGAGCCTTGGACTTCCCACAGTGCAAGGTGCCTTGCCCTCTCTTAGAACTGGAGGGGGGGTGGGGGAATGGGTGTGTGGAGGAGCAGAAGGAAAGTGGGAATTTTGATTAGTATTATTTATAAAGTAATAAAAAAAGAGGAAAAAACTTAAAATCTAACCTCTAAAAGAAAAAAAGAAAAACCTTGTAGGATGGCTGTTTGTCTTAAGTTCACCTCACTTTATGAACAGACAGAGCGTGATGTCACAGGGGAAGCAAATTCGTCAGGATTTCCCAGGGCTCAAGGGGGAGAAATAAACCTCATGCCTCCACGCAACTTCAGTCCTGAGGTATCACACAGAGGCCTGTCCAACAAACCAAGGAAGAAGCATCTTGCAGGGATTTGATGTTCTTTTAAAAAAGGATTTATTAGTGTTGTTTTCAATTGTGTGTATGTGTGATGGTGAGGAGTGGGTAGGTGCACATGAGTGCAGTTGTCCATGGAGGCGAGAGGTGCCCAATGCCCTGGAACTAGAGTTCAAGATTGATGTGAGCTGTCTTATGTGAGTGCTGGGAACTGAACTCAGCTTCTCTGCAAGAGCAATTCCACCTCTTAGCCACTAAGCCATTTCCCCAACCTTATGATTTAATTTTCTCAATAAATGTTGGTTTTATTTGGGGTCATTTTCCTTTGTTCTTTTTTTGTCTTCTTTGAGGGTTTTTTTTTCTGTTTTGTTTGACTTTGGGTTTTTTTGTTTTGTTTTGTTTTTACATCACAAAGTTTCCCCTCCTTCCCCTCTTTCCAGCCCCTCCCCCTACTCCACTACCCATCCACTCCTCCACTATTTCTCTTCAGATACAGGTGGGCATCCCACTGCCATCAGCCATGGTATATCAAGTTGTAGTGAGACTAGACACCTCCTCTTCTATTAAGGCTGATGAGGCAATCCAGTAGGAGGAATGGGTCCCAAAAGCAGACAACATAGTTAAAGACAGGCCTTGCTCTCACCATTAGGGTTCTCACAAGAAAACCAAATTATATAACTATAACATATATGCAGAGGGTCTAGATCAGTCCCATACAGGCTCCGTGGTTGTCAGCTCAGCCTATTTATATATATCTATACCTATGAGTATAGCAGGATGTCATTAGAAATCGTTTCATTGACGTCTTTATTTTAGATGAACTTCTTGCTGTGCTTCCCAGGTTGGCCTTGAACTCCTGTGCTGTAATGATCTGCCAGTTTCAGCTTCCTGAATGCTAAAGTTGCATGTGTACACCACCTTACCTAGTTCGGCCATTTAAATCTTTTAGTAGCAGTAGCAGTAGTAGTAGTGATAGTAGTATGTTTTTATGTGTACCCATGTGCACACCTGCCACAGTTCGCGTGTTGAGGTCAAGGGGAATGCATAGGCATTGGTTGTTTCCTTCCACTTTGGGACCCAGGAATCAAACTCAGGTCATCAGACTTGCACAGGAGGAGCATTGTTAACCTCTGAACCACTTGCTAGTTCTCCTTGTTGTTTGCTTTTTATATTGTTTGTTGGTTTTTTCCTTATGCCATCCTGACTCAGTGATGATGGAATCTCGATGTGGTTTTTATTTGCATTTCACTGGTATCTGGTAATGTCGGACAGTTTGTATGTGCCTGTTCTTTGCACTTCATCTTTTAAGAACTGTATGCGCTTATCATTAGCCCATTTATTGACTGGACTGTTTGATTTCTTGTTGCATAGGTTTCTTTCTATTTTTATATATTCTATATACTAATACTCTAGTGTATGATTGGCAAAGATTTCTGTAGACTGTCTCTTTACTTGATTAACTATTTCTTTTTCTAAGTAGAAGCTTTTACATTTCATCAGGTTCAATATGTCAATTTGGGCTATTCCTTGCATGACTAGAATCCAGGTGAGGATGTCCCTGTCTATGCCCATGTCTGGAAGTATTCTTCTTACCTTTTCCTTAACAATTCTAGGGTTTCTGGTCTGTCAGTCAGGCCTTAGGTCTGTTTGGAGGTGATTTTTTACAGGTCCTAGGTTCAGTCTTCAACATGTGGCTATCCAGTTTTCATAGAACTACTTGTTGAAGAGGCTGACTTATCCACATTTAGTATTTTTAGCACCTTTGTTGAAAGAAAAAGTAGGTGACTGTGGCTGTGTGAGATAGAATCTATGTCCTTAGTTCCACAGATCATGTCTGTTTTGTGTGAATACTGTGCTATTTTAGAGTCCTGGAGTACAACTTGAAATCAGATCGGTTACACACCTAGCTTTATTCTTTTTGCTCTGGATTGCTTTGGCTATCTGGGAACTTTTGTGTTTACAAACAACTTTAAGAGGGTTTTTTTTTTTCTGTTCTGTGAAGAATGACGATGAAATTTGATTGGTGGCGTCACTGAAACTGGAGTCTGCTTTTGGAAGTGTCACCATTTTCACAATGTTAATTCTCTAATCAAGGAACATGGGATGTCTTCCCCATCTTCTAGTGTTCCTTTCTTGAGTGTTGAGTGTTTTAGCCTTTCCATTGAAGAGCTCTTTTACTTCTTTATTTGGGCTTATTCTAAGGTAAGATTTTTTTGTTTTGTTACTGTGTTTTAGTGTGTGTGTTAAATGCATGTGATCCTGCGTGTGTGTGTATGTGTGTATGTATGTATGTTAAATGGGATGGTTTCCCCAATTTCTTTGTCTGCATGTTTGTCATAGGTTTATATAAAGGTTGCTAATTTTCTTTTATTAATTTTGTATCCTGCTACATTGCTGATGGTGTTTATCCATTCTGAGTTTTTTGGTGGAGTTTTTAGATTGGTTTTTAGATTAGGTTGGTTGGTTGGTTGGTTGGTTGGTTGGTTGGTTGGTTGGTTGGTTTGTTGGAGACAAGGCCTCACTATTAAATCCTGACTAGGCTGGAACTTCCATGTGGAGCAGGCTGACCTCTAACTCACACAGATTGGCCTACTTCTGCCTCCCCAGTATGAGGACTATCACACTGAGCTAAATTTCCTCATGTGTAAAAAGATGTCTTTTGCAAACAAACACACCTTGACTTCTTCCTCTCTTATTTGCT